ATCCGTGTTGGTGCCACTCCCACCCCCGCACTGTACAGTCTAATACCGGCTCCTCTCTCTTGCCAGCACCATGACACCTGCCCTGGAGCTGGAGATCCACCTCCTCCGAGCTGCCCTGCATGCAGTCTTCACCCTGGGCACGCAGACGGACACCACCCAAGTCCAGGTAGATCAGCTAAATCATGGATTGGGGAGCCAGCTCTCTTCCTGCCACAAATCCTTGCTAATTGCCTGCAGTGGGATGAGAATGAGAGAGGCCAGGATATGTGTTTGGGGGTCTCATCAGTGCTTCCCAGAGACCCCTCCTCCCATCCTGTGGCAGGTGTAGCCCCAGTTTCCCTAAGTCTGACCTATGGCTCTCCCTTGCTTTGCAGGATCTGCATATGGTCTTGCCAGACTTCCTGGACGCCATGCTGGGAACCTGCTGGCAAAGTCCCTAGACACCAACAAGCTTCACTACATCTTGGAGGTGAGCCCAATGAGAGGGGTGGGGGCAATTTTACCCTAACTCTTAGATCCATTTCCAGTCTATCCTCCTAGCTGGGCCTCCAGTGGGCCATCCTTGGTCTGGGCAGTCAGTGCAATGCAGTGTCAGGCCCTTCTTCCTTGAAGGACAGAGGAAGGAGCTGGGAGCAAGCCAGAGCTCTGCCTGGTTCTGTTGAGCACTAACCATGGGGCCCCTGGCTGGCTTGGGGAGTGAGAGTCTGAACTCCTCCTGTGAGATCCAGAAGATGGTCCTCAGAGAAGAGTCACAGGCTCATTCCTAGAGAAACAGGAGGGCCCCAGAGAATCAGCCCTTGTCTCTGACTGGCCCCGAGATTCCTGGGGGGATTGTGCTCACACTCAGTCCCTTCACCCAACCAAGGACTTGAGAGCCAGGGAGGGGGGTGGGGTCTGTCTCCTTCCTGGTGAGCTGTTCAGGAATCAGGAGTTCAGGGAGGATGGGACCAGCCCCAACACCGAGCATTGTCCCAATCTAGAGAGACAATGACAAGTTGAGACCTGCAGGATACAAGCATCGTCCTGGGGGCAACAATCACCTTCTAAAGCTCTGCGATCAATGAATCAGATATTCCACCCTGCGCACAATGTCTCAGCCCCCTGGGGATGGGGAGGGGCTCATTAGCACAACACATGCACCCGCCCATTCATCCTGAGCTGCCTCCTTTCCCCACAGCATATTAACTAGTGGATCGTGTCCAGGGTGTCATGAGAGAGAGCCAGGGCCATTAGGAGCAGCGCGGCCCTGCTCACATCCACCATCACCCTCCCTGACTTCGACATAGGTGGCCTCTGACCCCAGCTTCCTGACTCCAGGCTTAGGGGGGCTGGCTCCAATGGGCTGTAGGATTTGCTGCTGCAGGGCTGTGGGTTAGAAGTGTTCCTCTTGGGGAGGCAGAGTCAAAGCAGAGAATGAGCATGGCTTGAGTCAAGTTCTTCTTGTCCTGGTTAAGTGGCGACTCTCACTTTTAAGGGGACCATGCTCCAGGTTCTTGCCCGTTCACCTAGGCTGGCAAGAGGCTGAGCAGGGCCGGCAGCCTAGACCCCGGCTGGTAAGGGGCCAGCGGCCAGAACCCCAGACCGGCAGTGGGCTGAGTGGGGCCAGCGGCAGGAACCCAAGACTGGCAGTGGGCTGAGTGGGGCTGGAACCTCACCTGCTGCAAACTGGGGTCCCAGCCGCCAGTCCCACTTAGCCCGCTCAGGGCCAGCAGCAGGCTGAGTGGGGCCAGCGGCTGGGACCTCAGGCCACTGCCAGCTGGGATCCAAGCCACCGGCTCCTCTCAGCCTCCTGCTGGCCTGGGTGACCGGAACCCCAGGTTGGCAGCGGGCTGAGTGGGGCCGGCGACGGGTTGAGCAGGGCCAGCGGCTGGGACCCTGGCTGGCAGGAGTGGGTGGACGGAACCCAGACTGGCAGTGGTTTGAGCAGCTCTGCCCACTGCTGGTCTGGGGTCCTGGCTGCCGGTCCCGCTCAGCCCGCTGATGTTCTGGGGTTCCATCCACCAGCTCCTGCCAGTCTCGGGTCCCAGCCGTTGGTCCCACTGAGCCCACTGCCAGCCGGGGTCCCAGCCACCGGCCCTGCCCAGCCCACTCAGGGCTACCAGCAGGCTGAGTGGTGCTGGCAGCTGGGACCTCAGCCCGCTGCCAGTCGGGTTCCTCTCAGCCTCCTGCCAGCCTGGGTGAATGGAACCCCAGGCTGGCAGCAGGCTGAGCGGGGCCAGTGGCCGGGATCCCAGCTGCCAGGAACTGGTGGACAGAACCCCAGACTGGCAGCGGGCTGAGCAGCTCAGCCCGCTGTTGGTCTGGGGTCCTGGCTGCCAGCCCGCTCAGCCCACTGAAGGTCTGGGGTTCCATTCAACCAGGCTGGCAGGAGGCTGGCCAGGGGCCGGCGGCTGCGATCCCGGCAGGAGGCTGGCCAGGGGCCGGCAGCGGGATGAGTTGCTCAACCCGCTGCCAGGCAGGGGTTCTGTCCACCCACTTCTGCCAGCCGGGGTCCCAGCTGCCGGCTTCGCTCAGCCTCCTGCTGGCCTAGGTGAACTCTCTGGGGTTCCATTCACCCAGGCTGGGAGGAGGCTGAGCGGAGCTGGCGACTAGGTCCCCGGCTGGCAGCGGGCTGAGGTTCCAGCTGCCAGCCCTGCTCAGCACACCGACGTCCCTGCTCAGCCTGCTGATGGCTGAGTGAACGGAACTCCAGGCCGGCCGTGGGCTCAGCAGCATCCGGGACCCACAACCTGCCATTAAAAAGAAAAAAAAAAAAGCTCATGTGCCATAGGTTGAGGACTCCTGTTCTAGTGTATATGGTGTGTACTGTACTTTATGGTCATTTTCACTATATGCGTGTAAGCAGTGTCAGGATGAGTTCTACCCTGCATCTGATGGTGAATTGTGGCAAGTTGTGGAAAAGAACTTCAGGGGCTGATCTTGTTTGCATAGGCACACCTACCCTGCCTAGCATGAGCCCACAGCAGCCCAAATTGTCACTTGGGCTGCTGTGGGATCCCCAGTTTCTCTGTTATTGGGGCAGGAAGAATAAGGTGTTGTTACCCTGATTATGTGAATCAAGGACAATGGAATTGTTTTATGACAAAGGGACTCACCATCAACTAAGTACCACTCACTAGACAAGGGACATGGGTTCCAAAACCCAGTGAATTGAGAGAAGATGTGGACAGGTATTTGTACTTGATAATATGGGTGTCCTTTGAAAGTCCGAAATACCAATTGCATTTTCTCCTTCCTCTATTCTAGAATTTCAGAGCTAATCTTAATTCCATTAGGAATCTAATTACAGGCTGCTGAGTTGAATTTGCTTTGGGCCAATGGTGTGCCAGCACTGAGTCTCCCCTTGTGATGTTACTGATATAATCTGGGACCATATAGAACATGGTTGCAACCAAAGTCCTGTAGTGGCAACAAATCTTGCATAAAGGGAGTCAAATAAGGTGTCTAAGACAAGGTAATGGTTTACTGGTTATGATTATGTTGTCTATATGTGTGTATCAATTTTGTAGTTGAAATTATAAATATTGGCTCTAAACTGTCTGTATTTCAAACTTATGCTATGCTTCTGGGAAACATCCCAGACAAGTTGGTGTTAGCTCTGCCTAGCCTGCTTGATGGCCCATTAAGGACTATCAGCTATACAATTGACCCATTGAGAGAAGGCAGATATGCCTTGCAACTCAGCAGAGTATGCAGGGACTGGCCCAGGTGACTCCAGACTCCATTTTGCTGTAATTTTCCACAGTAAGGACAAAGAGGTGTTCTTACACCTGGAAAGGACTATAAAAGGCTGATGCCTCTCCTCCATCTTGTCTTCAATTCTGCTTCATAACTCTGGAGGAACTTTGCTACAAACTGAAGCTCTGAACAAAAGACTGATGACCCATCCCAGCTGGGGATGTATTCCAGAGACTTGATTTTGAACCTGCAGTTTATTTCATCACTGCTACAAGCCTAAACCAAGAACTTTGCCATTACTGTATGTAATTGATTCCATTTAACCAATTCTAGCTCTCATCTCTATCTTTTTCCTTTTATGAATAAACCTTTAGATTCTAAAGGATTGACAACAGCGTGATTTGTGGGTAGGATCTAATTTGTATATTGACCTGGGTCTGGGGCTTGGTCCTGTGGGATCAGGAGAAACTTTTTCCTTTTGCTGGGATATTGGTTTTCATAACCATTTGTCCCCATGATGAGTGGCACTGGTGGTGATACTGGGAAACTGGAGTGTCTAAGGGAATTGCTTTTGTGATTTGTGGTTAGCCAGTGGGGTGAGACCAAAGTCCTCTTTGTCTGGCTGGTTTGGTTTGCCATAGAGGTGGAAAAACCCCAGCCTAGGGCTGTAACTGCCCTGTTTGAGCAATTTGTCCTAAATTGGCACTCTCAGTTGTGTCCCGCCAGAACCTCATTATTACACCCCTACTACAAGCTAAAATCACTAAAGAGCTAAAATTACTAAGAGCTGAAATCACTGACTGCTGTGGGGGGGCCTAAAGCTATGTTGCTGAGTGGTTGGCAGAGCAGGTGGTGGGATGACTGGAGTGGCTGGTGGGATGGCTGGTGGAGTGGCTCGTAATGAAGGCTGCAGCAGAACCCCATGGAGAGGCGGGGCAGTCAGCCTCGGACCACATAAGGTGCCCCTTAACACCACTGCATGCACCCCACCCCCCCAAGCTGGGAGGTAAAACTCTGCAGATAAACTTTTGAACTCTGGGGCTGCACTGACCAGGGACAGAGACTTTTGGGGTGTTGGACTTTGGGTGATTTTTTGGGGGTTGCTGAACTTAAGACCCTGAGGGGAAAAGAATACTGCCAAACTTACTTGGGGGTGGGTCTTTTGCTTATGGTTTGTGTTATGAATCCTGTTTGTGGTGTTTCCCCAGTATAATGCTGCATTGTTTCCCTCCTTTATTAAAAGGATTTTGCTACACTCAGACTCCGTGCTTGCGAGAGGGGAAGTATCGCCTCTTAGAGGCACCCGGGAGGTGGTATGTAGTTGTCCCAGGTCACTGGGTGGGGGCTCAAGCCAGTTTTGCATTCAGTTATTGAAACGGAACCCCTAGATACTGAACCCGGCCCTTATTGCTGCCAACTCAAATGGGCAGAAGGGTTACACGCGATCTTCCTCTTACACACTGACCTCCGAACCTAACCCCCGTGTAAGATGTGACTCCACTGTGTTCATTTTTGAAAGTTTATAATAAGCAATGCTCCAGAGGGGAGGGGGAGGTGCTGGCCTCTCCTTTTGCCTCTCAGTTAGGTGTGACCCCAGGCCTCGCCAGGAAGGAGCACCTATCAGTGAGTGAACTCTGTTACAAGCCTGCTTCCATTATGGAAACAGCCTGGTATTGGAGAGGGGTGGGGATGGCCTATGGGAGAGGATGGCTGGAGGGGTCCTACAGAAGGGGCAGCAGGGTCCAGTGATGAGAGCAGGGAACAGGTTATACTGCAGCCCTGCCACTGAGTGGGAACGTGATCCTGGCCAGGTCACTCTCCCATCTGGTGCCTCACTTTCTCTATCTTTGAAATGGGGATCATCCTGTCCCACATGAAGAAAGTGTTTGATCCTCTGCTCTTGCTTCCCAAATCCCTGCCCTCCTTGCCCCACACAGGCCTCTGCCCTGTTCCTCAAACTTCCGTGCCCATGTTAGTGCCTGGATCACCCCACAACTGCAAGGTCTCATGTACAGTCTCCTGCCAGCAAACTGAAACCGCCCCTAGATCCAGAATAGGAATCGCAATTCCTGTGTGCTGCCCTGAATGAAGTCTAGACCATGGGCATGGGGAAGGCCAACACTCACATCCAGGTAGATCATCAACCTACTCCTCTGTCCCAGGAGCAGGAAGGCCTCTGGTTCTTGCTCTCTTGGTAGCTGGAGCTGCTAAGTTGGGGGTGCAGTGGGCCACTGGGCCACCCGTGGTCAGGGCAGTCAATGCAGAGCAGTGTTTAACCAGTTACCAATCCATGAAAGGACCTAATGATGTACCTGTATGGCACAATAATTCTTCATTGAATCAGTTGATTCAATTGCTTATTCTTTGGGGTTCAGACCCTCTGTTCTCCCCTGGAGGTGACAGAACCCTGATTGTCACATCTATCTTTCAGGCTCTGTCCCAGCCTCTCACACAGATAGATCCTGCAGCCAGCCCAGCTCAGGGAGCAGTGGGGACAGGTCATCTCATCCTGTCAAACCAAGCAACATAGGTCCCATTGAAGCTCAGCTAGAAGATCCCATGCACCTCCTGGAGGTAAGAACCATTCACTCATCCTGCCACTTGGGGCTCTTGCAATAAACAGGGGGCTCCTGCTACATATCCTGGTTGGGAGCTTTCTGTGTCCCCAGATCCCAACCCTAATACAGAGACCTATTTCTCATCATGATATCCTCATTTTATTCTCAGAAGATGTGTCCAGTATCCTGGAGACTGTTTCCTGCTGTGGGAGGTTTGAGCAGGGAGAGATCACTCACTGTCATGACCCAGGAGTCTTCAACCCGGGTCTGCAGGGTTCGTGGGAGCAGCCACACTCCAACCCTCCACCTGGAAACCTGCTGAAAATTGCTTACCTAACACTCATGAAGTTCAGCCCCAGTCTGAAGCTCCAATCCTGAGGTCCTATTGGAGGAGTCCCAGTGGCATAGACAGGTTCTAACATCAGGGGGAACAAACCCATTAAAAAAAGGCGCCACCCGACATATCAAATTACTAATTACATACTTTTAAATTCATTATACATATTTATTTTGTACTTAAAATAAAAACATAAGAATGATCCAGCCACGGAAGGGTTTGCACAGTGGGCATTTTGCAGGAGAACTTTAGATTATACTTAAATATACTTTAGCTTCTAGAAATTAAATGACCAAATACAGTAGTTTATAATTGTCACATGTTTAAAAAAAATACTGGCCACTTTTTCCACTTTATTGATAATAGATCGTAATGCTAAAGCCACCAAAAAGTCATGACACATACAAGTTTTATGAGAATTGGTAAGCAAAGATCTCATAGCTCTTTGGGGTTGGACAAAACAGTAATTTCCCCTAAAGTAGCTTTATTCATGGGTTTTTTTTTTAAACAGAAGACATCTCTACGACACAGGTTGGCAGTCTAACATTTTTGAAACACTGAATACTGAAAGTTAGGGTTTTTAACCAATTTAAGCTGTTCACACAGACACAGACACACACAAACACATCAACAACAAAAAACAAACCTCTTCCTGCTTTCCTATCACGAGTTCTGTTACTACAGGAATGAAATCTAGACATCCCGTAAAATAGCTAGTTCCATGTTGTTCTTCAAACCTCAGATCAGAGAAATGCAGCTTTGTATTTGAGATACTATATGACTGTAGGACATCTTGCACTGCCTGCCTCTACACTGACATCAGGAGAGGAGAAGAGGACAAGACTGTCCCTAGCATAGATGATTTAAAAAAAAATGTGAGACACACCCACCCACTATCAATGCAACAAGAAGGGAGAACAGTAGCTGGGGCCAAGAAAGAAGATGCAATGAAACCCTCCTGTACCCACAACTGATGTCTGAAAAGCATCAGTCACTCTGCAGATCAAAGAAAGAAAGAGCAGCCAGTATTCAGACAGATAGGATCCTTATGACCTATATAGGAGAAGTGCACTTTCTAAGTAAACTGTAGCAGTTTCCCAACAGAGTTTTCTTATGGATTTATTTATTAAGCAAAAATTAAGATTAGGAGTCTGATTTAAATTATGTAAATGTTCAGGTTTAGTTAACTGTGGAACTATTAAAAAGCAACAGAGGGTCCTGTGGCACCTTTAAGACTAACAGAAGTATTGGGAGCATAAGCTTTCGTGGGTAAGAACCTCACTTCTTCAGATGCAAGTCTCTTCAGACTAACACAGCTACCCCTCTGATATGTGGAACTATTGCAGCTACTTTTTTTTTACTCCTGCCTTTATAAAAAGCTACAGAGTTATAACAGATAATTACAGAGACTAAAGTACACGCTTTAATATAATTAGGACCGTGCCCACCAAGATGAAAACTACACCATGGAAGAGTCCTACAACCAGGTATTTTGAGCCCAATCCCTTTATCAATGGAATCCTCAACCAAAATGTGAGGAAGGAGAAGAGTACACCCTCTAATGTTTGACAATAATTCAAGGTCAGCCAGCCACCAAGAAGACCAGCACCATTCATATTCTGGTTTTGGATAAAACACCTGATCTTGCCTACATCATAGAAACCTTCCTCTCTCCAAGCCTACACCCCACTACACCCTTTAGCAATAAAGTAACCATTAAACAAGTTCTGAATCAGTAGTCTTTCTTCCCAATTTACTTTTAATAAAAAAAGCTGCAACATAAGTAGCTATGAGTGATAACAGTGCAACTACTAGTTATCGGTGGGGGAAAAGTGTACTAGTAATGTCCTGGATATACTGGTCTGTTAAGTGTTATTGCTTTTAATATGCTAATGCAAACACTGTAATAGTGTATTAATGTCTCAATGTACTCCAGCTGTTTTAACTTACCATAACACTAGAAGTGGTGCATGTGAAGCTCTCTTAAAAGCTGACACTACAGCAGTGATATTCACAAGCCAGCATGTGTAGGGCTGGGGGTGGGGAAGGGGAGTGCATCTAGGTATAAGTAACATCTCTCACACCAAACAGGAACTTTTCCACAGTTCATTGTAATTTGGAAGTATGATTATTATACCTTGTCTTACAAACACCAAACACCATTACATATGCACAAGGTCAATAATTCCCCCCCATATATACAGAGTTGTGCTTCTGCATATAGTATCTGAGATGAATATTGAGCTCTCAGCTCTTCAGGAAGCAGTAAAGAGTCATCAGCCAAGCCACAGGTTGAATCCTATTGCAAACAGTATGGGTGACGCATGAGGCATTCTGAAGCAAGAGGAGATTACTGGAAAATGTTAAATAAGACACAGAATGAATAAAGTTTTCCTAGGTTTTGTTTCTGTTGGATTTATTGTATTATGTATAGTGTTTAATATAAAAATCAGGTAGTAGGGTTTACAATGTTATAACAAGAGATTATGCTATTACCATTATCCAGTCAACTTGTACACTACTATTTTGAATTTGTGATAATTCACAGAGAGAGAAAGAAGAAAGCTGAATTTAGAGGACAATTATTAACCAGATTCCTGGTTATTCACCAGCCACTTTGCTCCAGTCCATAGCACACAGCACCATAAACCCAGTAGAATCTGGCCAAGAGACTGTTCACCTCAAATTGTCATCTGCTACACTCCCTCCTCCCCCCCCCCCATTCCCAGTCACCACTATTCAGGAGATAGCTAAGTGAAAAGGTGGCATGGCTGAAGCAAGTGCCTATACACAAATGCAAGAAGCCTGGGAAACAAACAGGGAGAACTGGAAGTCCTGGCACAGTCAGGGAACTATGATGCGATTGGAATAACAGAGACTTGGTGGGATAACTCACATGACTGGAGTACCGTCATGGATGGATATAAACTGTTCAGGGAGGACAGGCAGGGCAGAAAAGGTGGGGGAGTTGCGTTGTATGTAAGAGAGGAGTATGACTGCTCAGAGCTCCGGTATGAAACTGCAGAAAAACCCGAGAGTCTCTGGATAAAGTTGAGAAGTGTGAGCAACAAGGGTGATGTCGTAGTTGGAGTCTGCTATAGATCATCAGACCAGGGGGATGAGGTGGACGAGGCTTTCTTCCGGCAACTAACAGAAGTTTCTAGATCGCAGGCCCTGGTTCTCCTGGTTCTCACCCTATCTGCTGGGAGAGCAATACAGCGGTGCACAGACAATCCAGGAAGTTTTTGGAAAGTGTAGGGGACAATTTCCTGGTGCAAGTGCTGGAGGAATCAACTAGGGGCAGAGCTTTTCTTGACCTGCTGCTCACAAACCAGGGCTCAATGGGTAGTGATCAATGTCTCCATGTCTAGTTGGCAGCTGGTATCAAGCGGAGTGCCCCAAGGGTTGGTCCTGGGGCTGGTTTTGTTCAATATCTTCATTAATGATCTGGAGGATGGCGTGGACTGCACTCTCAGCAAGTTTGCAGATGACACTAAACTGGGAGGAGTGGTAGATACGCTGAAGGGTGGGGATTGGATACAGAGGGACCTAGACAAATTAGAGGATTGGGCCAAAAGAAATCTGATGAGGTTCAACAAGGACAAGTGCAGAGTCCTGCACTTAGGATGGAAGAATCCCATGCACTGCTACAGACTAGGGACTGAATGGCTAGGCAGCAGTTCCGCAGAAAAGGACCTAGGGTTACGGTGGACGAGAAGCTGGATATGAGTCGACAGTGTGCCTTTGTTGCCAAGAAGGCTAACGGCATTTTGGGCTGTATAAGAAGGGGCATTGCCAGCAGATCGAGGGACATGATCATTCCTATCAATTCGACATTGGTGAGGCCTCATCTGGAGTACTGTGTCCAGTTTTGGGCCCCACACTACAAGAAGGATGTGGAAAAATTGGAAAAAGTCCAGCGGAGGACAACAAAACTGATTAGGGGGCTGGAGCACATGACTTATGAGGACAGGCTGAGGGAACTGGGATTTTAGTCTGCAGAAGAGAAGAATGAGGGGGGATTTGATAGCTGCTTTCAACTACCTGAAAGGGGAGTCCAAAGAGGATGAGACTGTTCTCAGTGGTACCAGATGACAGAACAAGGAATAATGCTCTCAAGTTGCAGTGGGGGAGATTTAGGTTGGATATTAGGAAAAACTTTCTCCCTAGGAGGGTGGTGAAGCACTGGAATGGGTTAGCTAGGGAGGTGGTGGAATCTCCTTCCTTAGAGGTTTTTAAGGTGAGGCTTGACAAAGCACTGGCTGGGATAATTTAGTTGGGAATTGGTCCTGCTTTGAGCAGGTGGTTGGACTAGATGACCTCCTGAGTTCCCTTCCAACCCTGATACTCTATGATTCTATGATACTGTATCACACACAGCACTTGAGTACAGTAATCCAACAAAGGGAAATTTATTTAACAAGGGATAGAGATTTAAACAGAAACAAATGTGAGTGATGGAAACCAACCGTTACTGAAAAACAAAATCACAAAATGCAACCTACACTTTTTAATAGTTACCTTTCCTATCTAAGTAGATTCTCACATCACACTTCAGTCTATTGCAGTGATTGCTAGTCCCTAGAAGCCAGGGCCCTGCCTTTCATAATGCACCACTGGTTGCTAAAGATCTCCTTGGTGAATGGACCCAGAGTGTTTTTCTTCACCCTGTTATAAACTGAATCAGTCTTTTGTCTTTATTCACAGAAAGGATGATCTCCTCATTGTCATATTGTCCTTGTCACTTCCAGAGGGTTTCGATGTCTATACTTTTTGACAGTTTTCCATTGGCTTTTCTGGGTTGGTGCAAAGGTTGACAATGGAGCAATACATTGCATAACTGACCAGCAAGGGACGGGTGACAATTCCCTCCCACTTGAATGTGCCATCCCCACCAAGACCTATGATTGGGGTGACTCACTTTCATGACAATACCATATGGGCATAATTTTCAATGTACTTACATTACTCCTTCAATAGGACTCGTACACACCTCTTGCAGTGATTAGGAGTAACAATAATTTACAAGCTTTCAGTAGAGATTTCACTGCCATGCTTCCTGGATAAATATCATAAAATCAGTGTATTAGGTGTGGTGAGTTTCTCAGGTCTGAGACAGGAGTTGCTTGTGAAAAACAGTGACCCCTTTGCCAATTGGCACTAATGAGCTTGTCCCACCCTGATATAATAGAAAGGCCAGCAGAAAAAATAGAGAAAAGGACAATAAGATACTAACATGACAATGGTTCGAACTCTCCATTTCTCTCAGTCTTTGTGTTGATGGGTACTAAGAGCTGTAGCTACAATTGATGTCATGACTTGCTTCCCATAGGGCAGGGGTCGGCAACCTGCAGCATGCATGCCATTTTTGATAGCACGCTGTTGCCTGCCGGAGTCCTGGCCCTACTCAGCCCCCCCTCTCTTGTGGGGGCAGGAGGCAGAAGCTTGGTCCTGCCGGTAGCCAAGCTTCCCCCTCCCCCGCTTCTTTCCCCAGTGTGATGCTTTCCTGCCCCTCCCCCTGCCTGCCGCCAATCAGCTGATCACCCTTGCCAGGGGGAGAGCGGAGCTGCTCCAGGGAGAAGGCAGAGAAGAGGTGGGGAAAGGGGTGCGGATGGGGCATATCCCCTCCAGCCCCTTGCTGTGAGCACCCCCATGAGCCGAGCACCCCAGCCCACTGCCCTGACCCCCCACACACACCCAGCCTTCTGCCTTGACCCCTGCATCCCCC